CCACTCACAAAAGGACCCCACACATCGAGTCCACAGGGGCAAAAGCAGACAAAAGCAGCAAGAAGCCTCTTCCGGCAACAAACTTTGCATACAATTACAACATGTACCACAACTCATCATTGCAGTGCTCCGACTCAACTATTTCACTGTTGGTACATCACTTATTGAGCAATTTCGCGGTGCACCTATGGGCTCGCCCTGCAGCCCAGCCCTATTCAACATCGTGGTTGCCGTCGAAGAACAGTGTTGGCACCACACATACAAACAACTTTTCAAGAACCACAAGCATTTTCCAGACCACAACAAGCAGGATCAAGCTTTCTTTTTTGCTACCAGATACGTCGACAACCGCGTCCTTCTTTTACCTGCACAGCTGACCCGACTGCCTCCTTTTGCACAGCTTACCGACGCATCTTTCTACAAACCACCGGTTCAGCTTGAAACTGAACCGGCCAACATTTTCCTGGGTTTCGCCATAAACCCTCAGCACAGCAGCCTTACGCATCAATGCACTTTGCACAAGGCGGATATTTTACACCCACAGTCAGCCACCTCTGTTGCAATACTTCGCAGCAGTTTTCAGGCCCGCACACGCATGGTACGCAGAGTGACAACACCATGCAGCGAGGCCACATCAGCCATTCGAGCCATGCGCGATCTCTACATCGCTGCCGGCTATACTGATCAACAGCTGTAAGCAAAACACTGTGCCAAGTTGCCGTGCGTGTGTCCAGAGTCATGCAACTTTGCAACATGAGAGCCGCCTTGTATCAACACAGTGCTTCCCGCAGCCATTTACAGGGTTAACTGAGGCATCATCATGTATAAAAGTGCCATGACTGGCAGATTGCAGCCGAGCCACAAAGCGCTGAGCGGCCGTCCTCGGCCATCCATCTCCAAGCATAGCAGACGCCGCAACGAGCAACCTGCGGTTGGCAGCCACAATCCACAGCCGGCGCTTTTGCGCTCTCAGTTCCTACGTGTTGCAGAAGACGAAGATTTCCAAGATTACCAAGAGCAACACCAAGATCCGGAAGAACAGCAGGACGCAGCAGTGGCTGCACCGGCGACCCCGCCTTTTCCACCTCCGCATCATCCTGATCCGGATTCATCGACTGAGATTATGGCAGCAATAACGCAGTTTCACAATTCGTTGCTTGAATCGAATGCCAAACTCGAGCGCCTGATACAACAGGCTACAACGGTGTTGACTACTCAACACGAGGCTACCACGGCGATCCTCGCCTCGTGCAAACAGCAGCTCGACGTACTCGAAAGCCTCATCAGGCAAAACGCGCCTGATTGGTCGTGAATATGCTGATAAGGTACGCTGGTATAAAAAGAGCCAGGTAGTGCACACTTCTCGCATTTCAACACATGTTGCTTTCAGACACACACCATAACTTTGCCTTCTGAAGTTTTGCCTCAGAGTGACACCTATCGGAATCCCGACATCGAGCCATGAGCGAAGCATCTCTTCCGACCAACACAGTGACTACAGATTCGCCACCCGTCGATGAGTCACGACGTGAAGCTCTCTCCGAGGCCCTCATGGAGATTTTGACACAGCATCGGGACTATGATTCCGAAACTGGAAGTGAACCTTCCACATTCAGTGACGAGGCTCTACGCGACCAATTAGCTGAGTTTATTCTGCAAACAACCCGGCAGATCACAGAGCTAAAGCAACGAGTGGAAAGACTCGAAGCTTCGCAACAATAGGTGATCAACCATGTTCATACCACCATCGGGTGCTTTGCAGAGGACGGTAAAAACAACGATTGTCGTTGTTGCCAATTGTGACAGTCAGTGCACTCACTTCACATATGTTTGGCATGCAGCGATTGATGCACTCTTTCCCGCAGCATTTTGCAAAACAACCAGTTGTGTTAGCACCATGGAACAACGCACCAGATCGCGATCTCCCACGGCATCACAATGGAGATGGCATTGGGCCACTAACGGCTCTTCATGGTGGCGGGAGTACTTTATCGCATCTCAAGAGTGGATACGAAAGCATGCGGAGCAACCTGATCAGCGTCCGACATCAACGCCTCCGACCCAAAAGGAGACAGTATCTACTACATCAACTCCTACATCCAACAAGAGAAAGCGGTCAAGAACTCCGTGAGCAACATTGCTGAGTTGACAATTAGATGCACATTTGCTGCCCCTGGCAGCCAACAACCACACAGCAAAGCTGTGCTGCGAACTCCATCATCCCTGATGAGGTTCAACATTAAGAGCATCATGTTGAAAGGTCATGCCGGTCGGCGAGGTTGCTCAATTGATGTCTCTGTGTACATCTCTCTCTCTCTTCTGAAGATCAGCGTATGCACATGCCTCAATGCAGTTGTGACTCCGCAGCCATTTCTCAGAACTACAGTTGTTGAAACATATTTAGGATCGCACACAGATGGACGAGGACGACGACAGCAGCCTATGGGGATCCGAAGAGATTGATGCCTTCCTGAGGAAGGATGACACCACCACATCCTCCCATGCAGTCAGTCACACACACAAGCAAAAAACAAAGCACACAACGAGGACAAAAAAGAAGAAAGACAACAAAGACAAAAAGGACAAAACAGTCATGAAAACAAAGAAAACACGCAACATCTCACCAGCATCCCAATCCACAACACAGCAACGACGCCAACATCCACATACTACAAGACGAAAGAGGACACGCTCTTCGCATTCAACATCATCAGCGTCACCTACGGCAACGTCACACATGGCTGAGGACGCACACCGATCTCCATCGCGAGATCCTTGGTCTTCTGACTCGATTGCACCTTACGATATTGTGCATCCTACTATTCAGCACAAGCGGTCCAAAACCGCTTGTGCAAAAATGCTGGTACGTGCAGGTTTTAGGTGTAGATGCCATTTCAAGATCATGAGTGACTGTCCCAACAAACTCGCTGTTGGATCCTAATACTCAGGACGGATTAGGGCTGCAAGATCCGCTAAGCGTGACAAAAAGCCTGCGCATGCGAGTGTCAGGACGACACCACTTTGTTGTTTCGCCTGAGCACACAGCATGTCCATGTTGATTTGCATTCCTTGTTCAAGCTTTTGTCGGTTGGTAGCAGCAAAAATATGACAAAGCGAAAGGCTGCCGAGGCCGGCCTTCCATGGTACTCCATGGCAGGACAATGTTTTCGGATGACTGTTGAAATTCCACCCGACCGCATCACCAGAGACAAGCACATGTTCTTACACGTGGTACTTTGTCTGGGTGACAACGTTCTACAAGCTCGCAAGATCTTCTCCTACCGCATCAAGGAGATCACCGGCAGAACTCCTAAAATCCCAGCTTTCTTCTTCGAACAAAACCGTCGACGACTACATGATTGGGATTCAGTCACCACATTAGCCACGTTGAAGCCGGTGCTTTTTGTTAGAACCTGTTCGGATCAGGAAATACGACAATCACCCGATCGCTAGTGACAGCGAGAAAAGTGCGCCATTCACTCCTTTTGCCACGCATCAGACCTTTCACTCTACTTGAAGCATGTACGCCCCATTGGGGCTGTGTGTGTGTGAACCTCCCTAGCACATGGGAGCAGAGGGTCACTCCTACACTGTTTGCAATTTTTGCTTTTCAACATAATCAGACATTGGACATTTACCAAATCAACTGTTGCAGGGGGATCAGGCTTCCAGTGACTGACCTGATCCAACGAAGCTAGGTCACTGGAAGGGAAGTGATTGAGGACGCTCAGTCATGTACCTGCGCAATTTTCGGCAGCCCCCTGTGGTGCCAAGATTAGTTTGAGGACAGGCCCCCTGTGGTGTCCAGATTATACAAACAAGTTGTACGGTTGCCACAATCTGACAAACTTTTACAACATGAACAACATGCCTCTCTTTTTCCTCTTGCACTCGTACTCTTGGCCGAATCCATCAGTGTGCCGCTGTATGTATGTATATATGTATGTATGTGTGTATGAATGTGCGAACAAAGCTGTGTACGTTTGTACATATGGATGCATGGATGGATGGGTATGTGTGTCTGTGTGTGTCTATGGAAGCATGCGTCTATGTACACACGCACGATCACATAGATATGCATACGAACATGAAAATGCATACCAGCGCACACATACATACATGTATACATACATACATACATGCCATACATATATATATATATATGTACATATATACTACATATATACATGTGCACATATACATATATGCATATGTACATATTCACATATACACATATATACAAAAAAACATACACATGTGCAGGTGTGTTTTTTGTACACATGTATGTTTACGTATGTGCACATGTGTATGTACAGGTACATGTCCATGTTATCTATGCATGTGTATGTGATGTGTACGTCTGATGACATTGCAAGCTACACGCCAGACAGCCAAAACGATTTACATTCCAAGACGGGCAATGCCTCCTCACGGCTGCATATTCAGTCCTTGAAAGGTATCTGCAGAAGAACTGTTTGTGAACCTCTCAACTTTGACGTATTACAGGAATCTGTATACTTGCCAGCATGCCCAAGATGCTAGAACATATCACTGGAATGCCAATGTGCGGATCATCTGTGGCATGTACTTGTGTGGCTCGTCTCTCTGATGGAGTATGTTGAAGACGTTTTGTCGTTGATTGTGCTCCCACGTGGTATGAGACGTCACTCGATGCCTCCAGCCCGCTGCCACATCAGCATTGCAGGAGACTTTGCCACAGATGTGTTTCTTTCTGCTAACCTATGTTAGAACACCTGATGCCTCGCACGAGTAGCATCGACATCCGGCTGCAGACCGGACATGTTTTGTTTGCAGGATCTGCGGTCTGCATCCTCGTATTTAATCAAGCTCGTGCTCAGTTCACACTTATACCCTTGAGCCTAGGCGCACCGCAATCCGGTCGCTGGGGTGTAGATGATCTGTCGACATGCACACATGCGTCGAGACTTGTACTTGCCTGACCGCACCAGTCTTCGCCATGGCCCCATGACGTGAGGGGCATGGCGTTTCGAGAAGTCCAAAGCCTGCGCAGCCTTCACCACCTTCCGCAGCGGCGATGGTACACTCCGCCATCGAGGAGCTCAGTGCATCTCTTTCTGCTGAGACATGACGGGAGACATGAAGGCTTTCGTGTTTGCCAGTCTGCCACAGGCGCACATGGTCCAAGCAGCACTATCGGATCAGAACTCCTCGTCCAATGACCGACAGGCCGGTGCCGTTTTCACGAAAAGTTCCATGAAAAGATCACGTCCAAGAGTCTAAGGCCAGACGACTCCAGCTCTCAGCAAAGCGACCCCTAATATCAAGAACGGCAGAATGTTGACTTCATCCTTCCTCGCAAGCTCGGCAGGTTCGATCTGTCCAGGGTGCAGCCGCAGAAGGCCGCGCGATATTCCAGAAAGTGTCTACGCCATGAAGATGCCCCGAAGAGCTTCATCTGCTCGTAGATTGTCAGGAGTGGTGGCGAGAGCGGCGAGTGGCTCCTGCCACCTTCTTCGGTTTCCCAGACGTCACCAAGGAACCAAGAATGCTGCTTGTCACGAGCTATGCATGAGGAAACTGATGGCTTCTCAACCCCCAGGCTGGCATGAGAGGTGGAAGCATGTATACAGAGCAGATGGACGCGGTGAGCAGCTCAGTGAGTTCTGGCACATGACTGGCTTGTGGTTTTGTCCACTAGCCAGCACACACCTCCGGAGAGACCAGTTTTTTTCAACGGCATAACAACAGTTGCCAGGGACAGGCTACACATAATATATACGGTTGCAAAGACAGATGAGCACGTCGCGAGCGTGCGAACAGTGCACCCAGCACTCGTCATTGCCGCTTCGGTGTCTGATGCTCTGTGGGACCTGCCAGCGTTTCAAGGGGCAGCCGGGAGCTGGTTGGCACTTTGCGCATTTCTGGGGCGAGGTGCGGGTAGAGGTTTTGAGGAATTCGTCATGTCGCCCAGGTCACCCTCGCCGTGCTGGCAGATAAATGTGTTCAGGCGGCACACAAGAGTGCTTTGCAGCATCATGCAGTCGTGTCGTTGCTCGAAAACGAAGAAGCAGGAGAATGTTTGGGATCCCGAACTGTGGCTGAAGCCCGATTCTCATTTTCTGTGCAGAGGCACAGATGTTGGCAGCCATGGCGTCTCGCTGTCTGGTGTCGCGAGGTTTTCCTGGCGTGCGCAGCAGCTTTCAACTCGTACGGAGGAGGTGTGGCAGGGGTTTTCCTTTGACCGAGTGGGTGAGTTTTTGGCCATGTCTCTGCAGTTTTGAAGCTTGGAGCGGCTCTTGCTCATCTTGCTTGTCCTGGATGTAAAGGTGCATGTTCGATGGTGCTCATGACGATCGCGGTCAAGTAGGCTAAAGCAACAAACCGAATCAACATTACCGATTTATCTACCAAGCAACCCTTTCCAAGGCAATGTGATCCTGATTCCGACATGGGCTCATGAACACAATCATCCCTCAATGTTGCACACAGGCAATATCAGAGAGTGTTGCGGAGCAGCACATGAATTAACGACATGTTCCTTCTGATGTTTGCAGCGGTCGGTGTTCTTGATTTGCAACCGGCCCGCTCTGCAGCCTGACCTTTGCTACATCTTCCGAGCTTTTGCTCGTGCCTGCCTCAGCAGCTTTCCTTGTTTGGCTACATCGCAGCGTGAAGAGACTGGATCCGAAGCTTGGCCGTCAAAGGTGCAGATTGGTTCGACCAGAATCTGTTGACAACTTATCTTGGAAGACTGCACCGAAGGCCGGGCCGTCAGGATCGGGAGCCGTCGAAAGCATCGGTGCCGTGCAGCTGTGCTTAATGGAGAGCCGATAGCCCTACAGAAGCTCGTTTTTGTGATTGAAGCGTATTCAAGCGAACTTTCCTTGCAGGTTGCCGCAGTTTCAGCTGCCGGATGTGGCTGTGCTCCTGGAAGCGTTTGAGAACCCGCGTTTCAGGCGGGGCCGGGCTTCTTTATCCACCTGGTCTTGACGGTTTTGCAGCGTCTGCACAGACCAGGAACTAGCTGCAACACTGGTTGGTACGTGAGCTTCTGCTGCATTCATCAGCTTCTGAGGCAAGGAGAATATTTACAGAGGAGTTTGACGCACATGGCGTTGCTGCTGCAGCCGGCCTCTCAGCCCTTTGGGGGACAGCAGCTTTCTTGGCATCGCTTCTCTCAATCTTTGTAGATGAAATGGCTCTCATCACTGCGCAAAGTAGACCTGCTCAAAGACGGGCATGCCCAAGGCATCGTGATGATGCAGCTGTTGAGGATTTGGCAAGAACATGTCCGCAACCTGGTGCCAGTGACTTGCAGTGCCGGCAGTGGCGATGTCCGAAAGAGGTTGCGACTAAATAAGTTGTGTCTCTCTCCGTCCTACTCAAATGGGGACTGCATCTGACAGTTTTTCCACATCCAGGTGTCGCTTTGCGCAATCTTCATCCACAACCCGCAGACATCTCTGTCGAGGCCCTGCGGCAGTTCGTGGATGCTGGGTAGGGTTCATGAAGGGCGCCAAATGGCGCTTAGGAGCCCACTGAGACCCTACACTGGCCGTCGGTGCTCTTTCGAGGTGCAAGCCGGCTTGCTCCTCTTGGCCGAGGCGCTTGGAATTCGCCTGCGGTATTTTCTGGTGATCTTCACGACTCAGCGCAGGACACCCGCTGTAAGGCTCAGGCTGACCTTGGGCAGTTACCGCAGCCACGAAATACTCGGCACGCAGCTCACCGCTAAGAGGTCTCGCTGAGATTCAAACTGCAAGCATCTTCCAAGCATTCTGCAGCCTTCCATCACCCGCAGCCGCCATGCATATGCATGTGGGACGGCTGCGTCCCAAGGCCGGGGGCGAAGGTGCGAAGGTCGTGTCAAGAGCATGACATCTCGAAGCGTCGACTGAGGAGAAGCCACGCAGGTCGCTGCTGAGCTTGTGCCTTTCCCAGACATGGAAGCTCCGTCTGCGAACCCTGTGAGCGTGAGCAGTGCCGAGGTTGGGAAGATTGTGGGGCACCAAAGCGACTTCGTCATCACCCAGACCTTCCGGGTCGTCCGACCCAGAGGCGAGCCTGCCAAGCTTGCGGGCCGACGCTCCTCCAGCAGAACATGCGACAACTCCCCAGGCCATTGCCTGAGCCGTCAGGGCCGTCCTATGTCGGAATCCGTGAGTGCCGGTGTCAAAGGATTCTGCAGAAGATCAGCGGCGCTTGCCAAGACCGAGACGAAGACTGTTGGAGCCCCGTGAGCGGAGTTCCGCTGCTTTGAGCGCTGCCAGTTGAGCGCTTCGCGATCTGCTCTTCCGCCCGAGGAGCGGGTCTCTTTCTGGCCATGGTCTTGGCCTCCACCCCAGCCGTGACTTAGCGCTGCCGTTGCGTCGCGCCCTCCGACTATTTCAGCTTCGCCTAGGTCCAGGTCGTCTCAAGCTACGGCTTCCAAGAGCCAAGGCCGGTTGGAGCGTTCTTCGCAGCTTTGCGAAGCTCGCTTAGAGGGCCTTCAGAGTCCTTTGGGAGGCTCGCAAGCAGCGGCAGAAGTCAGAGGCCGGCAGCCAAAAACCTTGCAGATCTCTCAGTGGAATCAGTGGAAGTGTCTGTCGTAGGCCCTGGCAAGAGATGCCTTGAGAAGCAAAGACTTCTCCTTCGAGACCATCGTGCGAGTTCTGGAGGTTTGGAGGAACTCCTGGACTCGGACGTTCTGACACAAACGGAGTGCCTCAGGCTGTCCACTTTCCGATGAACAAGACTCGCAAGAATGTTCTACCGGATGGAGTGGAAGCGGTGCATGGCATGGTCTGTGTCTTGAACTGCGCTCCACCTACGTGGTGGCAGCTGGCTCACCAACGGATGCAAAGGTTCTCGGACTCTATGCATTCGCTTATAACATCGGCTACAGTGTTTGGCTCAGAACATGGCCAGACCTTCCTTTGGTAGTGAAGCGTAGAAGCAATGATGTCGAGGCGATGCATCCAAGAAGAATCCCAGCTTGGCGTGGCACCCAGCACGAGTCTTGAAGATGCTGGCTCGTTGGGGTATTGAGCGACTTTGTCATGTCTCGACTTTGCGGGAGAAAGCTTCGCATGTTTCCGGATGTTCCCCGCCCATTCTCAGCTGTTGATGCGGCCGATGAACTGGCGAGCGGATGCGCAGAAAAACATGCCGTTGTCATCCACTTGCAGTGGGTTTGGCCTTGTGTTCTTGGAGCTTTGAGCTTCGACCCCCGGGCATGACAGTTGTGGGGAGTGGAACGGGCCGGGAGATCGTCACTGCAGCCGTGAATCCTGCTGCCGCGAAACCAGTCGGATCTGGGCAGAGTCTTGAGGCAGGTGTACCAGAAGCCGAGCCAACTCTGGTCCACAGGTGCGTCTCCTGTCAGCCTTCTGTCGAGCTGCCCACCCTGACTTCGAGTTCACATCCATTCAGGCGCAGCAGTCGTGAATCGCAACACCGCCAAGGCTAGGCAAAGCAGAATCGCTTGAGGTGAACAAGAACTACGCCGCCAGGCCGCATGTCGTCGTTTCCCCAGCTTTGGATTGTAGCGTGCGGTGCTGTGATAGCGCCTGTGTACCGACTCACGTGGTTCCGGAGGACAAGAACAATCTTGGCAACAGCTTCATAATTGGTTTGGGCAACTACAAGGCCAGGGATGGCAGATCTCGCAGAGGCATCTTCGTCATGCCAACAGGGTGGGGAGCTTTGGGCTCACGACGATGAGGGCGACGTCCCAGTTGATCTCACTGAGAGCATCCGCCAGTCGCTAAGCACGGTGGCCGGAAAAGGTCGCGAGCACGAGCTCTACGAGCCATGTTGGACTTGCTGACCTCTGAGGAAGCATGCTTCACTACCGAGCAGGAGTCACCTACAGGCTTGCGGCACGATCGACTCGCCCGTTTGTTGCGCGAGGGCAGAGCCAAGCTGCTCTCGCTCCCTCCCCTCCTCCTCCTCCTCCTCCTCTCCTCCTCTCCTCCTCTCCTCCTCTCCTGCTCCTCCCTCCTCCCCTCTCCCGTCCCCTCTACCCTCTCCCATCTTACATCTTCCCTTCTGTCTGTCTGTCTGCCTGGCTGGCTGGCTGGCTCGCTGGCTGCCTCTCTCTCTCTCTCTCTGTCTCTCGCTCTCGCTCGTTTTCCTTCATCCCCAGGCTGAGCCCCGGTGCTGTGTCCGTCACATTCATCAGATGCGCAGCTGCCAGGGGCCGCACCTTCGACATCAATTGTCGCTGGCAAAGCTTCGATGGCAATCGCTTACATTGTGCAAGGTGCGGCTGATTGGTGTACACAGGAGTCCGAATCGTGCGGGTGTACCGGTTCGTGGGAGGCCCTTTGAGGGAACCCGGTACAGCTTAGTCTTTTACACATGTGATCGTTTCCAGCAAGCGGCGAGCCAAGCTTCTTGCTGTGGTGACATGTGTTCAGACACGACATTGGCTGTGGGCCCATGCGAGGCTTCGCAAGGTGTTCGGAGTGCCATGTGCAGTGCCGGCTTCACTTTCAAGTGGTCGAGCATGAGACTACAGGAGACGGGATTGGCAGGAACGATTGGCATTCTGCAGACAGCATAGGTCGAGTCTTTGAGGATGCTCTCAGTGCAAAGAACGAAGAGCGAAAGCGATGCCGGGATGAGTTTGAGATCGAGCAGAAGGCAGTCTGCTGAAGGATTCGCAGAGCACACAAGAGCAGCTTCGCTTTGGAACCTGGAGCTTGCAGGCTTTAGTCCGTGAGGAGAGGCGCCGAGAGAAGGAAGAATTGGGCCCTTGCATGGCCGCGGTGCTTGGTGTCTCTTTGATGCATCAAGACTCCCATTTCGGCATTTGCGAGGCCCGCACCTGGAACAAGGGTCAGCGCCTTTGGTCATGAGCCGGCATCTTGTTCAATGCTGCACTTCTCGGAGCGAGGCTGGGGCGGCGACTGCCAATGCCTTAGTTTTCTCCATATGCCAACGAAGATTTTTCGTTTGGAGTGGGTCGGAGACGTGTCAGGCGCCAACCCCAAGCACGTCGACGGTGGCCATCGGCCCAGACATGCATGCCTAGACGATGGGCATTTCTACAAAGCTTGCACCGCGGAATTAGCGTTACAACAGTTTGCAGCTCGGAAGCTGCAGGCGAAAAGCCTTTGCATGCATGTGTTGCTTTGGAGGCGACTTCTGTCAGCAACATCTAAAGGTGCGCTTCGTGCACTGAACCGTTCGTTCACATGTCCTTCTGAGTTCTGTATGCTATTGCCACTTTTCAATCCTCCTGCTGTCGGAGGTTTGGAGGACGCACGGCCGAGTGGACGGACCGGTCCCGGAAAAGAAGCGGGCCGAGATGCTGAAATGGTGCGGACCTCTTCCCGCCTTACTAGTCTTATGCAGCTTCATTCCGGTTTCTTGTAGGCAAAAGATCCACGTCGGCAAGGGCGTGCAAGCACCAGATCCTCTTCCCAGGGGTGCAGTGATTTTGCTTCCGGCCAACTGAGCTGGGGCCCAAGCAGCTTGCCTGCATGGCATGCGGCATGGGCATTGCGCTGTCTTGGCGTGATTGGACATGCCTGAATCTCTGAGAAGGCCGGAGCCCGACAGACTTCAGGGTAGGGCAACGGCGGGGAGCGGCAGAGCTCCGGCCGAGAACGTGGTCGCGGAGAGCGTTCATGGACTAGTGGCCTCGTGGCCCCATGACAGCCCCGAGGTGCCAGGCACGACTGCCTGAACCTATGTTTAGTCCTTCCCGGCGGCCTCGACTCAAAGCAAGGAAGGGCCTTGCCGGATGAAGGATGAAGGATGAATTCGGCTGCGTCACGGCACACAGGGACTTGCGAAGTGGGAGCGAAAAATTCCGGGCACGCAGGGCAGCAACTCTGCGTGTAGCACATGGCGACTCGGCGACTCTGCAGGCGCTGCTTCTGCGGGAACTCTCAGAGTTGAGCCCTTCGCAGGTGCAAATGCCTGTTCTCTTGATGCTCCATGTCACTCGTACTTTCGAGTGCAGATTCTGTGCAGGCGATTGGAGTACTGCATTCGCTAGTTCGTTGGGAGTCCGTGTCTGACAGAAATGCAGACCTTGCACTTGTGTGAACTTCAGCATTCGGCAGCGTGAGGCTCGTCAACAGTGAGCATCATCAAGGCAATGCAGCCGCAGATTTGTGCAGCTGCCTCAGCAAAGTCTTTGCGTCTACGCGGTTTGTGTGCTGTGACGCTTGGCCCTGCTGCTTCATTTCGTTCCTAAGCTTCAGTTTCAGAAGCTCCGCTTGCGATTGCCAAGCCCCATAAGCCAGACTAATTGGACACGGCGATTGTTCTCAACCGACATGACAGAGCACACGATGCCGGCACATCTGCGAGCACTTGATGCCTGATGGCACGGTGAGTTATGGCTGCCGATGCCAGACGATCAAGGATCATGATCAATTTTACAGTCCTGAGGTTCCCCGCGACATCGTTACGTGCAGCTGCATGCTGGGGGTTTCGATCAGCCTGTTTGTGCTTGGCGGGCAGAAGCATCAGCATTGTAGAAGGCCCCGGGATGCCCCGGGTCTAGCCAGCAATCAAACCAGTGTACCTTCCTTTCCCGCATCGGCAAGGCTGGTCGCTTGCGCGTGAGCTCAAAGGGAAGCTGCGAAACGCTGGGCGGGAGAATCCCGAGGAGTTTAGCGAAGCCGACTCCTGTTGTGCCCGGGTTGGGAGCCGCGCGGCTGCGTGCGTTGTGCCAGGACTTGGCGCTGCTGGCAATGGCTCTGTCCAGTGGCAAAATCGATCATGAAGAGCTTTGGCTGGTGGGGTTCTAAGTAACGGGCACTGTCCCAGTTTGCATTGTCTGCTGAAGCAGGAGCTGATCACCAACCTCGAGATGGAAATGTGCCTTGGATACACTGGCATCGTGTGGGTGTGCGGGACAAGATCACCATCTCTTGGCATGAGGCACAGAATGTCTGGGTCTGCGGCCTCACAAGCTGCATACGCAGCCTCCAAGAATGGGCACCGCGGCATCAAGCTTTATCAGGCATGCCAGCCGCCTTTTGACCGAATGTCGTAATGACGCACTTCCAAGAGAGATTGTTCCGGTTACGTCAAATCGTTTTGCAGAATGCTGGTCGACTACTCGGGGAAGAAGCTTCGAAATTGTCAGCAATGGATTGCGCCTATGCAGCAGGCGAACGAAAGCCACGAAGCCTGTCCGAGCCTTCCTGGATGAGAGTGGCAGGTGCCTTCTTGCGAGGCCCCGGTTCCTTGGCCGAGCAGGCAGGGCGGAGCAGGGAAGGGTCGAAAGCCAGCTGAGCCCGGGGCGGCTCAGGTGGTGCTCCGAGGAGCCGTCGGCGCTCAGATCCAGGAGCTGGGGCTTTCCAGCTTCGACGCGGAGGCGCGGGGAATGGGAAGGCGCGGCGAGGGTTTCTTTCGAAGAGTTCTTTCAACGAGCCCAGGCCTTGGCCATGATGTTGGATGCCCTGAGTCAGCGACCCAACCATTCCATAGAAGTATGCTTCTCATGCAGAGAAGTTGAGGCCGCGCTGCCCCCAGCACCTGGGGCGTAGAGACTCTGGCCGCTGCGGTGCTGGAGGCAACTGACGCAGCCCGCAACGCTTCTCTGTTTCTCTGCTTTGACAGGAGGTCCATGGGCGAGCTGACGAGCTATCCTTTGACGACCTCGCCCTGGTTGCGAGGACCGGTGGACCGGTGTGTTTGCACTTTGCCTTTGAGCACGAGTCTTGGCCGACGTAAGCCGAAAGGAGCTTGGGCTACCTGCAACCTCAGACTCCGCAGGCACGAAGAGGAAGGGTCGCGAAGGGTGGGGCTTCCAGACACTATGCCGTGCATTGGACTGCATTGGAGCACTCTGCCAGGTACTCCAGCATGTCTTGGATCATGCCCTTCGCGCAGCCAAGGCTCGGGCTCGGCGAGGGACGGAGGGCTGCAAGTCATGGAGTGCATGTGCAGAGTGCAGGATCAAGGAAGCTCAGCACGCTCATTCGCCCTGTTGTGTCAGGCGCCTCGGGACATTTGCAAAGCTCACACACGTTGCAGCAAAAGCCCCGACAGGGCATAGCTATGCAGCCTTCATCGCTGCTTTTGGATGCCTCCGAGCGCTTGGAGGCATTGCTCCCAGAGGCCGACGGAACCGTGTCACGGTTTCTCTGCAAAGAAGTGTCTCTGCGCATGCGCTAGGACTTGGTGTATGAGGGGCAAGTTAAGTTCCTCGCACCAGGTAGAAAAGGCACTCCAGGAAAAGCCCACTGCAGAGTCTGCTGCCATGTGCCAAGGACCTCGCAGTCTAGTTAGAGCTTTCGCACAGTGCTTCTGAGCTGCCTCACTCCTGAGGCCCAGATCCTTTGGAGCCTCTCTCGGTGCACGTCCTCTTCGAGAGAGGGGGTATTTGCTGTGTGCGATGACGTGTTGTCCGCCAGGCCCATAGGGTTGCATGCATGATGCGATCGGCTGCACACCTGCATTTTCCTCCTATGTACATCTGCTCGTGGCGCTGCTGCCAGCATTACGTTTCATGCGACGCTGCTTCCTGACAAAAAACTGTTGCTCATGTCTCGAGACTTGCATTGTGGACTTCGCAACAAGTGCATCTACAATCGAAAACACCTGCTGCAGGGCCGCAGAGTTGCCAGCAAGTCTCTTGATTCGTCTGGCTGAAGCCCTGGCAGCAGTAAGCAGGACGCAACACGAATTTTCGTGAAGAGCTCTTCATGTTGCCGAACTGACCCTGCGGAGGACTGGCTTGAATCCCTCGCAGGCGCTCATCAAAAAGGCGGCCTCCGGGAGGCGCTTTGCGGCGGTGCCGCTGTGCCGCTGGAGTGTTTCAGGTGAGCTATCTCCTGGACATGAAGCGCTATGACCTGCCGTCAGGCTGTGACCGTCACGGGTTCCTCACATTGTGGTGACATCACGTCAGGCAAGCTCTGGCGAGCGGCGCGGGCTTTCGAGCTTCTCAGAGTCCAGCCCTCAGAAAACCTGGAGCCAGAACGGTGGTAGCGCAGCGCCGCAGCGCTGCGTTGTTTTCAAGGTGCCCAAGAACATATCGCTGGAAGAACGAGACCAACCAGCGTCAGCAAAGGTCCCGAGGCCGAGACAGTCGTTGAAAAACAGCCGATATTCAGAAAGCGACCTCTGACAGGCGGCAGGGCTCCCAGAAGCTGGAGTCGCTGGAGCCGCTGGAGCCGCTGGAGCCCGCTTAGCGGCTTAGCCCAGCCTGGGAGAGAAACGGGGCTTGTGAACCGACGACCTCCGCCAGTTAGTGTCTGCTCACCATATATCTGGATGCTGCGCAGTGTTGCTCAAGATTCTGACATGCTGCGTGCATGATCGACACCGGGCCAGCCCTGTCAATGACAGCTTTAACGCCGGCGTGCTACCTACACGGTGCGACTTAAAGAAGCTAGTTCTTGCGGTGCAGGCTACTCGTAAATGCTGGTAGGATCCAGAGGTCAGCTTCGAGGCTTCGAGAGCTGATGTCTACTCGGACAAGCACACGGGAATCAGGAGTCACGAGGGTCTGTACATGGAGCCAGCTTGGCAATGACGGGGTGATTGCTCCTGTGGCTGTTCTGAAGGCGAACGGTTCACCAAGGGGGTAGAATGTTCAGAGCCAGTGAGAGAATGCCAGCGAGGGAAAGAGAGCGATAGAGAGAGAGAGCCCAAGCCTTCGAGGCGGGTTGGGGTGGTAGTCACTGGTAGTCTTAGTCATAATGGGTTTGCGGTTGGCTGGCTGGCCGGTGACTCAAATCTCTTTCGCCCTACGGTGTCACTCCGTCCAGTAACTCCCAGTGCGCGATATCGCACAGGGGTTTTAGGCAGGTTGACCCTCCTGGCTGAGTGGAAGAAGAGAGAGCCCAAGATCAAGAAGCGTGGCAAGCCAACTGCCGAGAACAACCGGGCGCAAAGAGTCTGACGATGCCTTCTGGGACATCGTGGACTGGGAGGAAGATGGCACATAAGGCGGGAACGATAAGGAGACCAAGGACCTCCAGGAGACCAAGAACGCAGAGGACTCGCACAAGAAGGAGCACAGAGGCAGAGGCCATGCTTTCAAGGCGCCGATCCCAGACAAGTAGGAGCCGCACCAGAGATCCCGGAGAATGAGAAAAGGGCAGTCCGTGAGCGCGCAATGGCACGGAGGAGAGCCCCGGACCAGATCGACAAATGCAGTGGAGTACCCGGTGCAGGGTGGCCAAAGCTCGGGATCGCGAAAGCTCAGGTCAAGGACAAACCAAGTACGAGGCCGCAGCAAACGGGTGGGTACCCGGCACCACGAGATGCAGGCCATGTAAGCAGCCGAAGAGGTACACGCTAAGTGGTGAACCCCACTTTGAAGCTTTTTCCACGTACAACTGGCTGAACACCTTCGCTGATGGGAGTTCTTTCTTTGCACCTCTTCAGGATGTGGTGTGCCCAACCCAGAGTGAGAGAGAGCCGATGATTCGCGCAACTTTGTTCCTCGAGGCACCTAGCACAACAGCTCTTCGCTACCAACACCGCTTGGACTTACATTGGATGGCAGGCTTGTCATCCCCAGTACACCACCAGACTGGCAGCCATGGATGGCCAAAAGTTCTGAAGCAGTGGGGGCTGACGTCCTTGTGAGTAACCCGGTTCAGTACCGGCTTGGAGACTTCAACAGTGTCCTGGGTGGGAGATGCCAGCTGCTTGTATCGTTCTGTAGAGCCTTATGGAGCCCAAAACATGCAGTCAAAGACAAGAAGGTCGACACGCAGCAATATTCGGCTTCAATGCTCGAGACATTTGCGACTTATCCTGAGTCTCACGATACCTATGGCAAGGACAGCGGAATCGGGGGCAGACTGGGTCATCTTGCACACACTGGCGAGTGCGGATGCTCCGGGCCAGGGAGCCGGAGCATGCCTCCCCCTGCATCCTCTGGAGGTGCAGAGCAGAGGAGCAATAGCCTGTGGTCCAGCACTGTCTGGGAGCAATGGCTACAACAGTTGAGTTCGTGAAGCAGACAGTCAAAGTATACCGCTGGATGCGACTGAAATGTTTCGCACTAGTGTGCCTAACTAACAAAGCACGGAACAAGCAGCTGCAAACCCTCGCCGACCACAGACACATCCGCTTGCCTTTTCACCGGGGAGGCCGCTTCGGTTGGCTTTAAGAACTACAGAAAGAGACGAAAGACCTCTCAACTGGACCAGCTTTCTTTCATGTGACATGTGTAAGAAGCATGCAGGCAGGCGCGGTTGTGAAGCTGACTTGCATCGGATGTGATGGGCTGAGCTATGGGAACGAATGCAGCACAAGCCCGGAGGTTTGATTCGATGGAGATGGAAGACTCTCGGCAGTCCGGTGAGACTCGTCCTCGTCCGCCCAGACCTCTGAGTTGAACTCGCTGAGGGCCAGCGTCCGTTCCGATTCGTACGGCTTTTGCAGGTCGTCCTGGGCCGGCGTCATGGCAACCCGTGCGACAGACTCTGAGGCTCGGTTGTGCCCTGAAAGCGCAGGTGCAGCAATGAGTGAACGAACGTGCTCTTTTCCGAGCCCCGCTTTTCAGGTCCCGGCAGAATACCAGGCTGACAGCAGTGTAAGCTCACTGTCTACGAACTGGGCCGTGAGATTCCCGGTTCCTATGTGAACCCTGTTGCGAGATTTGACTTTGAAGCGGCATCTGCGGCATTTCGTCGGAACCAAGGCTTTGGGGACATCCTTTGAGACGTCAGCCGGGCGTGCCGTGCCCAGCACAACCAGACAGTGTGTGGGGCTTGAGGTATTGAGTCCGCACAGGTGGAATCATCACGCAGCCGTTGGATGCCAAGTGTTGCTTGTTTGGGAACCGTATCTGAGATTGCAGAATTCCAGGCTCAATCTCTCCGGGACGGCACCTGAGACACAGTCACCACGCGCTAGCTAGTCAGACGCTGCCACACGCAGAAGTGTGTTTCTTTTGGCAGGCTGTGTGGCATGTTAAGCCCAGGCGTCTACCCAGAGTATATGAAGTCTGGGATCACGTTGGAGGGCGCAACAGGCTGCCGCAGCTGCCTTCAAGAGCATAGCATCGTCGCATCGCCTTGAGAGCTCGTGGAGTGGCAGAGCGGCCGGCAGGTTTTGCTGTTGCGGCCGCTGTGTAACCGGCCCAGACATCGACTTCTGGTACAATTTGTGCACTTGGTCCAGCCCCTAATGCAGCACGTGTATACCGGTAGCGTGGCACAGAGACCCTTTCCATATTTCGATTTGGCTACGCATTGCCTAGCATGCGAATCAGCCAAACCCAACACAATGTGTAGCCGACTGAGACCGGACCCTTGTAGCCGAGGTCGCTCATCCTGATACCTTCTGCGTTGTACTTCTGTTTCTGTCTCCGGCTTAATTACGCTGTTTATACCCCGATCTGTCTGAGCTGCCGCAATCGTCTTAGGCTCGCGACATCTATGGAGAGTCAACCCATTGCTGCCCATTGTTACGGGCATTGTGCCCCAGCTGTGTTTCGGCTGCTGCAACAGTTGTTGATGGGGTTTCTTGCCCCACAAGCGCGCCAGGCACTTATCGCGACTATCGTGTTCCTACTCCTGACATCCTGCACAGATCCAGGCCGCAATCTCAATCTGTGGTCTTTCACAGCGGCACAGCAGCTGCCCATCATCAATTCACCGGGCACCGAGGGAACCAGATAAGCCCATACTGCCACCTGTGGGCCAAGCCTGTTTTCGGCAGCGGCAGCATGGGAGCCTCTCTCTACTCCTCCGACAGTTAACCGAGCTAAACGATCAACTCATGTACCTGTGTGAAACGAGATGTCCAGCACATGCTACCTGTTACCTGCTACAGCTCGCTTGACCGTCGGCCTCAGCGTTCCGAGCTATTCGCAAAACCAGCCGTGGATCCGATATAATCGAAGGCCGATCACCAAGCAAAAGCGGCAGCAGCAGCAGCAGCAGCAGCAGCAGCAGCAGCAGCTCAGTAACAAGTCAAACCTGGAAGCTCTCGATCTGCATGGCAATTCAAGAACGCAAGGTTCAAGCGCAAAGCTGTAGTAGCTCTTTGCATTGTGCAGGCATTCTACCCCGGCGGGAGCTGCGCTTGGCAGTGCCCGGGTCCTGCACCTACGAGCCTCGTGAAACCGAGCAGTGGAGACAGGAGTCTAGAGCCTGCCATAGTCTTGCCGAGCCACTGACGTGTTTGCAAGTCAGAAAGTTTAGTTGACTGAGGCTAGAGGAAGAAATTGTTTCAGCTGTGGGAGTTCCACCGTTGCCGGTGGGTGCCTGTATTGGTCTTTCATGCGTTTTGTCCTTCAATCCCACACATTGCTGCTGATGTTGAGGCCGAAGGTGGCTTGGACCCGGAATGTCCCCCTTTGACTGAGTTGCCATGTCCTCGCACGGGTTTCTGCTAGTTTGTGCTCGCTGTGGAGATTCGTCTGCTCACACAGCAGGTGGTGAAATGATTCACTGCACGGTTCTTCATGTGGAACAATGCCCGAGCTGAGGCAGCAATCTCAAGGCTACCGATGGTGTTCAACCTGCAAGGCCAAGTTGAGGAGAGTACGTGAACGACATGAAGCGGGTCTGTGCCAGATCGTTCGACCTCCACGGGCCTCGCACTGTGCAGACTGCGACAACTGCGTGTTGATGCCCGTCGCTCGGGTGTAATCACAGGCTCGGCAGACTGTGATAACTGGGCAGCATGGTCTGGGAATGGCACAAAGGTTCGACCATCATTGCCCCTTCGTTAACAATTGCGTCGGCCAAAGGCGGGCTCTGCAGCACGGATTCAGCCTGCTCAATGTTTTTCTGCACGGTGGCAGGAACTATGTCTTCTTCTCCGCTTTCTTGTTTTCCACGGGGTGAGCCTGCATGTTGAGACACACGCACATACGACAGTGCCTCGGTTTGTGACTGGTAAGACTTGACAGGTGCTTGGGCTTTTCCGTGGCCGTTGGTGTGGGTCGATTCCTCAGGGATTTTGGCAGGTACGTGTCTGTGTTGTATCTGGTTGCCGTCCCTTGAAGTCGCAAGGCATCAATTACTCCAGCATCGGATCGCTTCCCGATCTCTGGAGGACCCATGCTCAGGGTCCTTCACAACTGTGTCGCTGGACGGAACAGTGTCAGTGTTGCTCACGAAGTCTACACAGCACCCCAGAGTGGAGCTGCATAATTCGGTGTGCAGCGATTTGGAACGCGATGTGAGGCCGTCGCAGGCGCCTGTTTATAACGTGGTTAGAC